TACAGTCATTCTAAACTAAATCAATTCACACTTTCAAAGGTTTGGAAATCATCTCGCCTCTGCTCACAATGAACCAGAAATGCCGCCTAGAGCAGTCTCCTGTGGGGGAGCTAGCCCTGGGGAGCCGGCCAAGAACTGTTAGGAGACTGAGACTCCAGAGAACAGCTCTATTTTAAGTTGACTGAGGGCACTACTGTTAAGGAATGATACTCCTATGAACCCCTTTATCCTCCTTATTTCACAGTGAAATAGCAAATGTGGGGGAAACTATGAGAATAAATATGGTAGGTGCTTATTAAATGAAAAAAGTGCTTTATCTTTTTAAGTCTCCTAATTCCATCTTGAGGCACTGATGACGGGAACGAGTGCCTTGCACACACACTGAAATTACATATTTTTTAATAAGGAGCCTCTTCTGAAAAACTCAAGGCGGTGGCAGTTAGCTCTGTCTAATAGTCCCTGTGTTGCAACATTTAGAGGGAATCATCTAAAATATAAAACAATCCATCAACATAATAGAAAGTAATTAACTTATTAAAAAAGAATAAGGTGGCCAAAGGATTAAAAGTATTCATCACCCATCAAGGCAAGCAATATTTCAAAGACCCAACATCTTACTATTAAAAAGCAACTAGCAATCATAGTTTCACTGCATGGCAATTTATGTTTCCACAGTATGGAATTAGGTAAATGGAGGTATAATTAGAGCATAAGGGGTCAACATAGAGAGAGGGAAAACTGGTTTAGTGCCATCTTTCTCAGTCACTCGTGCATTCAACAAACACCCACTGAAACGCCATGCTGAGCTCTGAAGACAAAATCAAGTGAGACACAATGCAGATCCTCATCAAATTCACCGTATGCTGGAGGTCTGCACTGTACAACGTAATAAAAAGCTTCAAGAGGGGGGAGGCTGTCGTGTGAGCTCAGAAGCAACCCAGACCAATGGGGGCCTCCCTCCTAGATAAAAAAAATTTACCCTTCCATCTAATAGAACCACTAACCCAGGAAAAAAAATGCTACTGTACTTAAATACCAACTACACCAATACACAAAAAGTGAACTGAGTTTTTCTGCGACTTGGGATTATGAGTGATTTTAATTTTCTGCTTTATATTTTTCTGCATTTTATATAATGAGCATGTATTATTTTTATAATTAGAGACAAAACAGTAAATATAATTATAAACAGAAGAGGCGATAAAAAGAACTATCACAGAGGGCTTAAGAGTGTTAAGAGAAAGGATCAATTTTGAAAATGGAGCCTATGTTAAGGCATCCAGCATGATTTATTAAGAACACACTAGGTGCCAGGTATTGTGACAGGCTGTTGGAAAAAATGTTTTAAAATGTAATTCAGACACCTTCCTATGGCAGGTTAAGTGATTTTTATCAAGAAAATAAAAATTAATAAACCCGAAAAGAGCTGACAAACTCGGATTTGAACAACTCTCTCCAGGAGCAGTCCCTAATCAGGGAATGCCCCAAATTCAGGTTTTAAAACAAAAAAAAATATGTATTCCCTGTAGCAAAACTATTCCATAACACAAATGCAATTCATGAAGATCAGCTATACTCCAGAGTTCATATCACATGGCCTCTCCATGACTTGATGGCTCTGCAAATGCAGCCAAATCTCAAACTCAACATGTCCAAGACCTATTTTCTTCTTCATCACTCGTCTCTCAATCAATATTCCATCTCAGTGAAGGCTTTCACCACCTACTCTGACACTCAATCTAGGAAACTTAACTCCTCTTTCTGTCTCATCTACATCCAAATGCCTCTGAAACATCTCTCAAATCTTTCTCCTCACTGCGCTGCCCTAGTTCATTGCTAGAGTACATTGAGTGGTAGTTAAGATTACAGATTTGGGGTCAGCCAGATCCAGGTTTGAACCCAGGCTCTGCCACTTTAGCTGCTAGACTTTAGATGTTGGATAACTAACTACACCTCTCAGAACTTCCACTTTCTTACTTGAAAAGTAATTAAGATGTATATAAAATGCCTGGTACATAGTCACTGATTTTTCAAAAAGTGCATACATATCAATAGAATGACCAATATTCTTTTTTAAAAAAATAAATCTTTATTGTTCAGATTATTACAGTTTTCCTTTTTCCCCCCAATAGCTCCCCTCCACCTGGTTCCCACCCCACCCCATGCCCTTACCCCCTGCCACTGTCCTCATCCATAGGCGTAAGATTTTTGTCCAATCTCTTCCTGCCCCCCCCCCACTCCCTTCCTCCCAAGAATTGTCAGTCCACTCCCTTTCTATGCCACTGCTTCTATTATATTCACCCGTTTATTCTGACTTAATTT